TCTAGATTGCCTAAGTTCTGGTCCTGAAATCAAGCATCGTTCTGGGATCCATTTGTATTCTATTGAGTAGATTTATAATTTTAACTACGTGAAATTGTATTTCTGGGATGTTGGTTGATTTTAGATGTGGGTATTTATAGATAACAAAAAAATATGAAATATATATTATTTATGATGTAGGTATGTGCACGTGTAAAAACTGTAGTTTGTAGTCAACCAAAGAAGATATTCAACACTTTAGATTGTATATTGTTTTGAAATGTCTCGCCTCATGAACACGTTCCTTATTTCAATATTGTATTCAATTCCACCCATGACTGTACACAACATTTATATATTTACATGTATACGACGGCTACATGGGCAAGTATAACGGTAAACACAAACGTGTGTTTGTTTAACATTTTTGTGTGTTGAAACACTGTTATATTAAAGGAAAATATAACCATTTAGTCTGTTCGGGTAACCAATTCTAGCTATTATTTCCTGAATAAAATATTATCTACTTCAGGCATACACATATTATTTTGTGTCATGTGACACCAGATGTTGTTATCAACCAATACTCATAACGTAAACAACCATAGAAATATGAAACATCAATGCTAGAGAATAACCAAGTTCGATTTTCCAACGAAAAAAATTCCTTTTGGCGTGAACGTTGACAATAGCGGTACAAATATATTAATGGATCACTGAAAATCAGTGATGACGCATTTTTTTGCAAAAATCTGTTGCCTCCGATGAATAAATGAAGTTATGCCGAAACAGTAAGCTCTTAGAAGTCTTGTTTGCCAGCTGGGACCATGTCAGTATATCAGGTATGAAATGCATTTACACGTTGAACGCATTGACAGAGAGTATTAGTTATCTTGAACGGTTGGTGAAACCGCGCAAATCGAAACAGTTCATTTATGGTGTAGTATTTCCATTGGCAAATCGAAACAGTTCATTTATGGTGTAGTATTTCCATTGGCGCTGTTAGGACCGCTCGGCTAAAAACAAGTCGAACAGTGCTCGATTATCATGATCCGCATGGTAAGCCCAACATAGCGGTTTGACTAATCAGCATTGATTTTTACTCCATAAACTGTCATAAAGTATTCATAAAGTATCAGGGGTCATTTCAACTTGCATAATGATTGACATAGTCCTTTATAGAGCGAGGATTGGGCTGTTTTCCCACCCGATTGACTGACATACAACATTCACATGGTTTAGAATGGTACAATGAATGGTAAAGCATGCAAATTACTCTATTACGCGTTATTTCATAAGAAAATATCATATCTCCGTTAAAACATAAAACCAATATTTATGAGTCCACATATTGATATAAGACTTTATCACTGTCTTCAATTCCAAAATGTTAGATATAAACTTTCGGACCCAACACAAGCCAAACACAAGTATTTATAAACATCCCTACGAGATTTTATTTCGTAGGGTGGGGGAGAGTTTATTTCGAGAGCGGCTGAACTGTACCGGTATAAATTCGCCGGGAGGGGGGGTGGGTGTGGGGGTGGGGGTGGGGGTGGGGTATTCTGGGGGCGAATATATTTCGTGACACCGGAACTACTGATGTAACTGATTTCAGAGATCTTATTAATCCTCGCAAACATTCGGTTTTAACACTAACTACGTAAAAACTGTCAACATATCTACGCCGTTATACTCTGATTGAAGATCTAAAATATTTTCCTTAATACAGGCTACCATTTGAAAATGGTATCAGTGTAATACCAGGGGCTAGAATATCATGGTGCAACCAGGTTTCTGTTAAACATACAACATCATAACTATCCAATTCAGCACTGATTAAATCTACTTTAAAATCTACTAAGACTACGTACGTTTACATGTATAATCTTTATAAGCAAAGTAACCCAAAATATAGATAATGTGTATCATCTTCCCGAAATGATTAGCATGTAGAATAGATTCAAAAACACCTGTATTGAACAACATCAACCGGCATCGTCAAAGCAAAGTGTACATGTAATTGTTACAATGGGGCTGGCGGTGAATATTAATGAAGAACATCTTGTTAAAAAGACACACCGAAACTGATTTGCATAACTGATGACCACAACATATTGCAAAATATCAAAATAGTAAAAATGGTAACAGTTTAACCTCACACTGAAGAGAAAACAAGAACGACACAGAAAAGTAAAATAGTACGTCATATAGAACTGAGATAAAGTAATCTGAGAAGGGATTCATACGTTAAATACAACTTAAAAATATATTATTATGAAAAACGAAAGGAAAGGTGGGACACCCCACACCCCACACCCCACACAAGTAACTAAATGTATAATTCAGAAAAAATAAAGGAGATAAAAAAAAAATGAATAAAAAAACACATAAACAAATTAACATTAAAACTATTGGCAAGTATTTATAAAACGACCGGGGGAGGAAATATTCTGGGGGGAGATTTTATTTCGTAGGGTGGGGGAGAGTTTATTTCGAGAGGGGCGGAACTGTACCGGTATAAATTCGCCGGGGGGAGATTTTATTCTGGGGGCGAATATATTTCGTGACACCGGTAGCAACCTGGAGGTAAATAAGTGCTCCTACATCTGCCAGAAGCTATGTAAGCAGCTTACAGGAGACAGCTGGATGTTCTCCAGTGATTTCCTGGTGCCACCATAGAGTGTGTATGCAGAGGATACACGGAGTCAAGTCATAGGATATATACCAAACATGCAAGGTTTGACCGATTGTTTAAAGATATATACTGAACTAAAAAACACTTGGATCATGAACATTTTGGGGGATGTTTTTTGGGGGTTTTTTTGTTCTGGATCATGAATATTTTGGGGGGTATTTTTATGAAATTGTAGTGTAAGACAGTACAATTTCATAAAAATACCCCCCAAAATATTCATGATAAGACACTACAATTTCATAAAAATACCCCCCGAAATATTCATGATGCAGAACTTTTCCTTCAATATACATATTGCTGTTTTCACGTGTAGAAAACGTATTTGTTTATGACCAGTCATGTTTTCATTTGTAAATACGTAGTTGGTTTCATGTGTTTCATGCAGTCATTTTACCATACGTTGCCCCAAGGATAAATCGATTTATAGATTTATTGCAGATATTTATTTAAGTTTGCGACCGCCTCCGTGGTCTAGTGGTAGAGCGTCCGCCCGGAGAGCGGAAGGTTCGGGGTTCGATCCCCGGACGCGTCATACCAAAAGACGTTAAAAGATGGTTCTTGTTGTTACCCTGTCTGGTGCTCGGCATTAACGGGCTAAAACAAGGACTGGTCGGCTCGGAGTCAGTATACTGTGTCTGAGTGGGGTATTCATGTTAAACTGCGGCATGGTATCTCAGTGAGCTAGCACTATAAATCGGCATAAGTCCGGACTAGTACAAGCAGCCACACACACACACAGACACACGCCTGCATGCATATAAGTGCAATAATCTTGGACGCGACGTTAAACCCCATTTCACCTCACCTATTTAAGTTTGCTGAGTAAATATATAAAAATTAATGCAACCATTATATCACATGCCAAATATGATGTCGCCAGGTGATTTCACTGCTGTTTTAAGCTCTCTAACACCTGACCCTCTAGCAAATGGGCCCCGTGAAGCTCCGTGGTGGAATAAGCCTTCAGCAACCCATGCTTGCCGTATGCTTGTTCTTAGCGGCGACTAACGGGATCGGGTGGTCAGGCTCTCTGACTTGGTTGATTCATGTCACCGTATCCCAATTGCGTGGATCGATGCTCATGATGTCAATCACTGGACAGTCTGGTCCAGACTCGATTATTTACAGACCGCCGTCATATAGCTAGAATATTGCTGAGTGCGGCCTTAAACAAGGCGGAGGACGGTAAATGCATCCCTATCAAATATTTAAAATTAATCTACCTGTATTTCATATGCGCGTCTGCGCACGCTATGTTCTCTGTGGTAACAATGAGGGAATATGAAAGATATATTAGGAAGGAATGCCTCAATACCAATACTGGCTCATTTTAAGTTGTTATGAAATAGTTTGATATGTTCATAAGACTGACAGCTAGCATATGCCGTAATATCACAAGTTGTAAATATTACACTTTCACTGGTCAAGACTCGATTATTTACAGACCGCCGTCATATAGCTGGAATATTGCTGAGTGCGGCGTTAAGCAACAAACAATCAAACAACTTGCATAAAAAAAGTAAGTATTTATTGCCTGACGCCAAAAAGCAGTAATCCTGCCAGGCGAGAGCGGCCTGTAAACAAACCAGACAATCAAGTGATCGATGGACCAGAATAGAGCAAGACGCCCATCCATCGGGGAATAAGGTTTGATGACCCTCTGTGTGACATGTACTTAAAAATATTTATCTTACCGCCATCTTTATCATTTAACACAATTTGAAAACAAACGTTTCTTTGTCGCTTTATTGCCAGACAACAATATGTGCATCGCCTATTTGTGAGTGAGTGAGTTGAGTTAAACGCCGCTTTTAACAGTATTCCAGTTACATCACGGCGTGTCAGATTAATGTGGGAGGAAAGCCCGAAGTGATGCAGGTACCAGACGTTTACCACTTAGGTGAAACCCACGAGCACGGGTATGGTGCTGACAAACCTAACATAATCGGGGCGAACCGGGATTCGAACCCACAATCATAGGTTTCTGGCGTGCCCAAGGGACGCAACTCTGCACAGCGAATCGCGGCGCCTCAGACGACTGGGCCGCCTTTGTGTGAAGGCAATGTTAATATACATAATGCGACACCATTGCGCTGTAAGGAGCTTGATTTGCAGAGATCGGACAGTGATTGCCAAAACGTTATGGGTTTATTTGCTTAAACAGGTGCGTTCACAGAGGAAATCGGTGACGTTTTGCTGAGGTACCGTTCTAGCCTGCACCCTCTTTTCCAGCTCTCCACTGCTACAGCATGACATTAAGGAAAAAGTCAATTACCAATACAATTCAAATATTTTACGTCTAAGGTACTATTTATCATTTCAGGTATGAAATACAGCATCACTCCCCGACGTTTTCTGATTGCGTTTGCCATAGGAATACTAACATACATCCTCATGTCGTACCACTGGGACAATGAAACAAGAACCAGCTCGGGTGTGTAAAATCTACATTACTTAGCACACGACTTTGTGTAATTAATTAAAACGGATAGCACAACATTACTAATGAAACAATGTGTCATGTACAGTCCTCCATTCCCGATGTAACATGTTCATAACATTAGAATGAACATCCTAGGATTCCAGGCCGAAAACAGACATTATCACGTCCTACATAAGCAAAGAAACTGTGGTAGAGTAAGCGTGTAGTTTGGTAATAAGCTGAAACGACATAGTTTTGAATTTTGTAACGAGAGGCCTACAATGCCATCTTTAATGATTGCCGTATGTTTTGACAAAGTATTGTACCGATAATTTTAGTTCAATACCTCTAAAACGTTTATGTATAGAAATTGGCACCTCACATTCAAATTTCATGTTTTTATTTTTCACATATTAAACAATTTAACAAGGATGGCGCGTGTGTTTGTGTTGGGGCCGAATTGGCAGGGTTTGTTTCAACTGATTCACGTTTACTCTGAATGGAGGTATGAACAACTTATTTTCCACAACACATTATTTTAGGAAAACGTATCTTCCCCCTTTTGAATATGTTTTTGATATAAATGGGGATAAACGTAGTCTTCACGTATTCCAAAATTTATAGATTAATTACATCTCAATCCCAGTTGACACATATTTTTCAAATTATTAATTATCAGTATAAGATACATAACTGGGCCTTATAACCAATTCATACTGTCAACATCAGACAATAATCATACTCTATTATCTGTCGAAACAGATTCCATAGGGCTTAAAGGGAAAACATGGATGAAATTTATATGAATGGATAAAGACAATTAAGTGAAGGGATAACGGAAAATCATTGATGTTGGAAAAGGGACAACATGATTTGTCCTGCTCACACAATTTGCATGAAAAACGTGTGTGTTCGTTTGTTGCCTAAAGCATGGGCCTAGATTTTCGAAACTATCTTAGCTAAGATAAATCTTAACAACATAAGTTCAAAAATAAAACTTAACTCCTGTTCCAAGAGACCCGTGAAGATCCGGGGTAGAATATATAGGTCTTAAGCAAATCCATAAAAGGCGACTATGCTTGTCGTAAGAGGCGACCAACGGGATCAGGTGGTCAGGCTCGCTGACTTGGTTGAAGCATGTCATCGATCCCAATTGCGTGTATTGATGCTCATGATATCAGTCACTGGATTGCCTGTCCAGACTCGATTATTTACAGACCGCAATCATATAGCTAGAATATTGCTGAGTGCGGCGTTAAACAACAAACAAACCAGACAAACAAACAAACCAGTTCCAAGACTGATGAAACATAATTTCTATAAAGAGGACTATGTCTATCACTTTGATGGAAGACTGTTTGGCGCCTTTGTTTTTCTAGCCAGTGAATCTATAACAGTCATCAGTACCATCAGCTTAGCCATGGCAAATCTATCAGTTGTCTACTTTTGCCAGTGTTAAGTGGCTCAAATCCTCCTTCACAGAGACGAATGGTTCTTCAGTGCTACCAGCAAAGCGGATTTGCGATTTTACTGCTGTCTTTGGCATTGCCAGTAAGCAATACAACTAGCTAGTATGATGAATGAGGCAATCTGTTTCATCCTAGAATGGGTTTTGGTGCGGATGCTCTAAGCCAATCCCATTACCTTGGACCCGTGAAGATCCGGATAGAATAGGTCTTCAGCATGCTTGCCGTAAAAGGCGTCTAACGGGATCGGGTGGTCGGACTTGGTTGATGTATGTCATCGTTTCCCAAGTGCGTGGATCGATGCTCATGATGTCAATATCACGGCGGGGGACACCAAAAATGGGTTTCACACATTGTGCACATGTGGGGAATCGAACCCGGGAACTTCGGCGTGACGAGCGAACGCTTTAACCACAAGGCTACCCCACCGCCCCGGTTAGTTTCAGAAGGTAATTCCCCCTATTCTCTGACGTGAACTTTGCCTACAGTTATCAAAACAACTTCTTGGTTCAGGGCATACAATAGCAAAACACCGCCGTCATACAGCTGGAATATTGCTGAAAAGCAAACAAACAATAGCAAAACCTTCATCCATGTCCTGTAATGAACTTATATATACAATGCCATTGTCAACAAACAAGGAATAATTCTAAACCTGTAGTTTTTGTTATCTATATTCAGAGCTAAAGTATTCAAAACCCAATTACTTTCAATTAACTTGCGTACAGGATCGCATACAAAATGTAATAACCCAATTAAAATAGAAACCCTGGAGTAAAAACTCACTTGCACAAAAAGTTATCTGGAGTTCTGATTATATATTGATATAAAAAATCATAACAAATATTTGTCACTACACACGGTGTAAAATCCTTATAATTGACATTTGATCAGAATGACAAGATTGGACACTTTCCACATGATCTTATTACGTATACATATAAATATCTATTCAATAAATATTTGATAATGAACAATATTTGACATGTTTAAAAGCCTTACAATGACAATATCAAATACATTTTAACACTGAAACGTATTTAACATTGTGAAACCCTTTGAAAAGTGAATTCTCACTGACACTGATTGGCAGAACTGGGATGTTCTTCTATCGTGTCCTGTACAAGCCAGGGTCAAGTATCTCAGGAGAACAGCAACATCTTTAGGTCCACTCTTGAGATCAACCCGTGAAGATTGTGGCTAGAATAGGTCTTCAGCAACCCATGCTTGCCGTAAAAGGCGACTATACTTGTCGTAAAAGGAGACTAATGGGATCGGGTGGTCAGGCTCGCTGACCTGGTTGATACATGTCATCGGTCCAAATTGCGTGGATCGATGCTCATCACCGGATTGTCTTGTCCAGATTGTCTTGTCTTGGCCAGACTCGATTATTTACAGTCAAATAGTTGGAATATTGCTGAGTGCGGTGTTAAACAACCACCAACCCAAATGATTGCTGGCCCAGACTCGATTATTGACAGACCACCGTCATATAGCTGGAATATTGCCGAGTGCGGCGTAAACCAAACAAACAAACATGGAAACACAGGGTAGTACTCCTATAATGTCATTCTTAAACGGTTCCATTTCTATTTGCCTACAGTGCATTTCGCTTGCAATGTCGATCGCCGTTAGTGATAGCATCATCTGTTATTTCTCGGCGTGGTATTGTCATACATGTACTTGATAATCTTTACCTTATATTTCATTTTCCTCTTTTCTTATCCCTCTATGCTTCTCTGTTAGTTTCACGATTTGTGGGAGGACGACATGCACTCCAGAACCGACCCAATCACACGGAGACAGGGACTGCGAGAAATGAGCAAACGGAGATATCGGGTACTTCAGAAAGGATGACGTCACAGTGCACACAGCAACAACAGGTTGGTTGGTTTGTTGTTTTACGCCGCACTCAGCAATATTCCAGCTATATGAAGGCGGTCTGTGAATAATTGAGTCTTGACCAGAAAATCCAGTGATTGACATCACGAGCATCGATCCACGCAATTGGGATACACTTGGGCTTATTTCGTGATACGATGACATGTATCAACCAAGTCAGCGAGCCTGACCGCCCGATCCCGTTAGTCTCCTCTTACGACATGCCCAGTCGCCTTTTACGACAAGCATGGGTTGCTGAAGACCTGTTACATCCCGGGTCTTCACAACAACAGGTATTGACATTTCACTTACATTGAAGATTCAAGATTTTTGTTTAAAACCGACTGACGGGGCGTTTTGCTTGTTTAAAGACAGCTTGAAATTTGGCGCTTTTCAACAGCCGAATATGACGTCATGTGCTCTGGTTCACGTGTTCTGCTAATGACGTAGTTGTGCTACACACGTTCTATGCCTGCCATATATGCGAGTAAAAGAATACTGGTGTTATGCAAATAATTTTCAAGCACGTTCGTTTGTTTGTTTGTTGTTTAACGCCGCACTCAGCAAAAAAATTCCAGTTATATGACGGCGGTCTGTAAATAATCGAGTCTGGACCAGACCATGCTTCAACCAAGTCAGCGAGCCTGACCACCCGATCCCGTTAGTCGCCTTTTACGGCAAGCATGGCTTGCTGAAGACCTATTCTACCCCGGGCCTTCACGGGTCGTTCAAGCACCATTTGTATAAATCTGCAAGTGATCAAGCTCTAAATAACAAACATTATGTTTATCTCCTGATGATGACAATTGCATGGAACCTAACTAATTGTACGGATAATAATTTCGAGGAAATGTGCATAACGATAGGTCAGTAGGAGATGTCCAACCGACCTTGACGCACGATCAGGTCACCCTGCAGGACCTTTCTTACAACCTCAAGTGAACATGTTCAAAAACTGATATTTGAAACTCGGTCCAGATAAAAGAAACCCATGAAGATCCGGGGTAGAATAGGTCTTCACAACCCATGCTTGTCATAAGTAGCGACTATGCTTGTCGTAAAAAGCGACTAACGAGATCGGGTGGTCAGGCTCGCTGACTTGGTTGAAGCATGTCATCAATCCCCATTGCGTGGATCGATGCTCATGATGCCAATCACTGGATAGTCTGGTCCAGACTCGATTATTTTACAGACCGCCGTCATAGAGCATCTGGCTTTAGTCATACGTGGCGAAGCCAATGATAAAACAGATGTATTTTATCATAGACACAAAGGAGGCTTGAAATGTCGCGTCCTCCGTCAAGTCACTTGAGGGGCATGGATACCCTACCGCTTTAAGCGGGATAATTAGCTGTGTAGAGCTATGCCCCTTAGGAGTGCCAGTAACATGTGATTGTGAGTTCGAATCTCGGTTCGCCCTGATTACGATTGCAGGTTTGTCAGCATCATACCCGTGCTTGTTCGTTTCACCAAAGTCGAAAACATTTAAGACCTGTATCACTTAAATAAAGCGACAAAACCCTTTCCATATCCTATAGAAATATCTGCATAAAACAGAGTCGATTGTCCAATTCCGACTACATCATGAGCATGTGTTTATGAATCACTATCAAATAGTAATGATACCAGGTGTTCGCAAAAGGGTGAGCGTATCCTGCCCAAACCGGTGGCACCCGTCACAAACACATTCAAAGGCAAGTCAATTGTTCACCTGAAAAAAACATGGGAACATATGGTACGTATCAAAATAAGGAATTGCATCGGACATCATTTTTGTCACTGATGCGTCAAATTTGGAAATGGCCTCCACATGTCTACCAAGGCCTTGAATGTTGTAACCTTGATCTAAGAACTTCTGTGCAAGAGTCGTATGACGCTCTTTGAGATCTCTGTAGAAAGAGCATGCTCGATTGTATCTCCAAAGTTGTGAAATGTATACACCAAAGGCTGGAGCTGCTGGAATATTGTTCGATATGAAGGGAAAGTTGACTATTGAAAAGTTGAAGTCATCCCTCTTTTCATGGAGTCTTGTGGAGAGTGTTTTGTCATTCTGAATCTTAATGCATAGATCCCAAATATGAAACAGATAAGGCGGTCTCACTGGTCTCCTATATTTCTAGTTCAGGTGGGTAAATCAGTGGAAGGGAATTGGCTTTTTGAATGTTATTGAACGATATCAGTTCATCGATGAACTTCGATGTTCAGGGCTTAAGTTGAACTTCTTGGCCAAATTACCTTGTTTTGACTTTGCCAATCCGAACAGAAATTCCGATTCATATGCATAAGGAAACAGATCTGCAAGATGGGGAGCACAATTGGTGGCCCTAGGGATGCCTACGTCTGGCCTTAATATCTTACCCTCAAATGTTACGTAGATGTATCTACGAGGAAGTCGAGCATTTCACATATTGTTTTCTCAGTAAACTTCAGATGGCATTTGCTTTCATTTTTCACAAATTGTCCTGAACCTCTGAATATAGACACGTAAAAAGATACGTAACTGTACCGTAATATAGCTGGAATATTGGTGAGTGCGGCGCTAAACAACTAACAAACAAACAAACAAACGTAAATGCATCTGTGTACACCACGTTTGTAACAAAAGCCCCATAGATCAAGGAATGAAGTTTTCCCTTAAGTTTGTCATCTGGGATAGCGGTGTACAAAGTTGAAAAGGCTTTCTTCCCATACTAAGGTGGCTCGACGTGGCTATAACTGAAATACTGTTCAAAGTGGCGTGAAGCCCAGTTCACTCATCTCACACCACATCTTGGACAGTTTCCTCTTTACACGTAGGGACGTACACATGAGGAAAAATCAGCTACTTCAAAGGTTCACTTAGAAAATGTTGACGCAGAAATTAAATGAAACTGGATATGCTTTGACGAAGCACGTGACATATGACTAGTTTGCGTCAACTCCTTTGAGGTCTAAATAGGCTTACACATACACAATTATAACAACATGACCAGTGGTTCTGAAGAGTGAGTGAGTGAGTTGGGTTTAACGCTGCTTTTAACATTATTCCAGTTATATCGCGGCGTGTCAGCTTAATGTGGGAGAAAAGCCCGAAGTGATGCAGGTCTTAGATGTTTACCAGTTCGGTGAAACCCACGAGCACGGGTATGGTGCTGACAAACCTAGAAACATAATCGGGGCGGGTTCTGAAGAAGATCTAACAGGAATGCATATTGAATCCAAGATGTCCACCAAACCACGTGACAAAATATAATCGTTTTGTTGAGAAATATCCCAATCAAATGTAGATTTACAACGGTTTAGTTTTTTCTGACTTTTGTTTTGAAATTGAGCATTTCAAAGGATTCTTTAAATTTTTTTAATGAGTTATGTGCCCTTTGTGAGACACGGCAGGCCATCCCATAGCTGCATTCCATCACTACCTTAATTTAAACCTGTATTCCAGTACTACCCGTTGCATAATACTACCTGCCCTAGCTCAGTCTTTACCTGTATTCCAACACTACCTTGCTCTTCACCTGTAGTCCCGCACCAACCTTATCCATACCTGTATTCTTGCACTACCTTATAAACCTATTCATTAGGATCGCTATTAAGTAAGAGACTTTTTTCTATAGGCAGTAAAATCTATTGTGAGGTTTTACTTTCCAGCCGTTTAACGTTTAACGCCGCTTTTAACATTTTAACTTTTACGGCAAGCGTGGGTTGCTGAAGGCTTATTCTGACCCGGATCTTCACGGGTTTTATTAAAGTAATGCATGATGCTGAACCCACACATGTATTCCAGCACAACCTTACTCTATACCTGTAATCAGCACCAAATTATTCATACTATATTGACCGCCTCCGTGGTCTAATGGTAGAGCGTCCGCCCGGAGAGCGGAAGGTCCGGGGTTCGATCCCCGGCCGCGTCATACCAAAAGACGTTAAAAGATGGTACTTGTTGTTACCCTGTTTGGCGCTCGGCATTAAGGGGCTAAAACAAGCACTGGTCGGCTCGGAGTCAGTATACTGTGTCTGAGTGGGGTAATCATGTTAAACTGCGGCATAGTATCTCAGTGAGCTAGCACTATAAATCGGCATCATTCCGGACTAGTACAAGCAGCCACACAAACACACACACGTACATGCACGTCGCTATATAAGTGCAATAATCTTGGACGCAACGTTAAACCCTATTTTACCTCACCTCATACTATATTAATCCATACCTGCATTCCAGCCGCACCCCAATCCACATTTGTATTCCAGTACTACACGATGCTGAAGCCATACCTGTATCCAGCCCCACCTGTATCCAGCCCCACCTTAATCCATACCTGTATCCAGCCCCACCTTAATCCATACCTGTATCCAGCCCCACCTTAATCCATACCTGTATCCAGCCCCACCTTAATCCATACCTGTATCCAGCCCCACCTTAGTCCATACCTGTATCCAGCCCCACCTTAGTCCATACATGTATCCAGCCCCACCTTAATCCATACCTGTATCCAGCCCCACCTTAATCCATACCTGTATCCAGCCCCACCTTAATCCATACCTGTATCCAGCCCCACCTTAGTCCATACCTGTATCCAGCCCCACCTTAGTCCATACCTGTATCCAGCCCCACCTTAGTCCATACCTGTATCCAGCCCCACCTTAATCCATACCTGTATCCAGCCCCACCTTAGTCCATACCTGTATCCAGCCCCACCTTAGTCCATACCTGTATCCAGCCCCACCTTAGTCCATACCTGTATCCAGCCCCACCTTAATCCATACCTGTATCCAGCCCCACCTTAATCCATACCTGTATCCAGCCCCACCTTAGTCCATACCTGTATCCAGCCCCACCTTAGTCCATACATGTATCCAGCCCCACCTTAGTCCATACCTGTATCCAGCCCCACCTTAATCCATACCTGTATCCAGCCCCACCTTAATCCATACCTGTATCCAGCCCCACCTTAAACCATACCTGTATCCATCCCCACCTTAATCCATACCTGTATCCTGCCCCACCTTAATCCATACCTGTATCCAGCCCCACCTTAATCCATACCTGTATCCAACCCCACCTAAATCCATACCTGTATCCAGCCCCACCTTAGTCCCGAACTGTATTCCAGTACTACCTGATGCTTTAGCTATACTTGTATTCAAGACACTCAGTAAACCATACATGAATTCAACACCACCTGTCCATACTCGTGTTCCAGTGCTACCTGACGTTTAGTCCTTACCTGTTTTCCAGCACTACCTTAATCCACACCCAGTCATGCTTTAATCAATCCTGTTTTCTAGCACTACGGTAGTAACACCTGTATTCCAGCCTGACGTAACATAATCCATACCTGCATTCAAGCACCACCAGAAAACTTGATCCATATTGTACACTGCTGCCAGCTTGATCCCTTATTTCAATGCTAACCGTTATACATATTTTTACAGGAGACAGACACAGTAGAAGATGACTTCATCAAGAGACGGAAGCGATACATGAATGCTTGCTCCTCATCAAGTTCTGGTTCAGTTGAAGACATTTTCGTACATGAGCCGACTGGACTAGCTGTCTGTCATACTCAGAAAGTCGGATGCACATTTTGGAAAAGAATCATGAGCTACCTGCTTCAGGAAACAGGGAAGCCGGTTAAAAGCCCATACGAAATTGACAGGTATTATATCCATCACAGTAATAAGCCAAACCGATTTCAACATAGATTCAGCGACCCACGACTAAAGACCATGTTACCAAATTTAACACGTGTAGCATTTACACGTGATCCTTATACCCGACTGTGGTCGGCGTTTGTTGACAAAATAATATTACCAGACTCCTGGAGCGATCATGGACGAGGTATCTACAAACACCGAAATCGTGGTAACGTGGAATGTCCCTTAAACATAACATTTGAAGACTTTCTACACTATGCAATCTTCAAAAAACGCGATGCGCACTGGGACCCACTCCACACCGTTTGTAACCCTTGTTTAATGTTTCCCCAATATGTTGGAAAAATGGAAACATTTTCACGCGATACGAAATACCTTCTGAATAAAGTTGGTCTTGGATATTTGGTGTCAAACAAAAGTCACCAGGACCACGTGGAAAACGAAATGAGGATGCTTATTTCCTATCACTTTGAACTGCAATCAAGAAGAAACATTAACAAGAAATGTCTCACGACAACAGCTCTTACTGGGAGACTGTGGAGGGCCTTTCAGTTAAACGGATACATCTCACTTGAAGAAGAATTTCCAGAGCCGAGAGTCAGGGCGCTATTAGATGGATTAAGTATTCCACAAGCCAGGGATGAAATCACGAGATTGCTTGTCGACTATCACCGAGATGGTTCTACTTCCTGGAAAAAGGAAAGAAAATCTGTTCTCGTAAATGCATTCAAACAAATTCCTCTTGGTCTTCGTGAGGAAATCAGCCATAGATATAAACATGATTTTGATCTATATGACTACGAACCATATCCAGCTGAAATATTCCCAGAGAGGTACCACTGATGGATCTGGGTTGACTGTACTTATGTTGGGGGTGGGGTTCTTCCAAATGTGGGGGAAGCGGAATATCATTAAATAGTGTGTGCATGTATGGGTGTCCTCCCAGGTTTGGGAAGGGGTATATCATTACGAGTAGGTCGAGTGTGTGTGTGTTGTTCCAGTGAGGAGAAGGGGTATATCAGTAGAGTGTGGTTCGTCCTATCAATGATAAAGGGTATGTAATTTGGTGTGGGTCCTCCCAGTATGAAGGAAGGGGGATATCAGTAAGTAGTGTGTGTCCTCCCAGTGTAGAGGAAGGGGGATATCAGTAAGTAGTGTGTGTCTTCCCAGTGTAGAGGAAGGGGGATATCAGTAAGTAGTGTGTGTCTTCCCAGTATGGAGGAAGGGGGATATCAGTCAGTAGTGTGTGTCTTCCCAGTGTGGAGGAAGGGGGATATCAGTAAGTAGTGTGTGTCCTCCCAGTGTAGAGGAGGGGGGATATCAGTAAGTAGTGTGTGTCCTCCCAGTATGGAGGAAGGGGGATATCAGTAAGTAGTGTGTGTCCTCCCAGTATGGAGGAAGGGGGATATCAGTAAGTAGTGTGTGTCCTCCCAGTATGGAGGAAAGGGGATATCAGTAAGTAGTGTGTGTCCTCCCAGTATGGAGGAAGGGGGATATCAGTAAGTAGTGTGTGTCTTCCCAGTATGGAGGAAAGGGGATATCAGTAAGTAGTGTGTGTCTTCCCAGTATGGAGGAAAGGGGATATCAGTAAGTAGTGTGTGTCCTCCCAGTATGGAGGAAAGGGGATATCAGTAAGTAGTGTGTGTCTTCCCAGTATGGAGGAAGGGGGATATCAGTAAGTAGCGTGTGTCTTCCCAGTATGGAGGAAGGGGGATATCAGTAAGTAGCGTGTGTCTTCCCAGTATGGAGGAAGGGGGATATCAGTAAGTAGTGTGTGTCCTCCCAGTGTAGAGGAAGGGGGATATCAGTAAGTAGTGTGTGTCTTCCCAGTATGGAGGAAGGGGGATATCATTAAGTAGTGTGTGTCCTCCCAGTATGGAGGAAGGGGGATATCAGTAAGTAGTGTGTGTCCTCCCAGTATGGAGGAAGGGGGATATCAGTCAGTAGTGTGTGTCCTCCCAGTATGGAGGAAGGGGGATATCAGTCAGTAGTGTGTGTCCTCCCAGTATGGAGGAAGGGGGATATCAGTCAGTAGTGTGTGTCCTCCCAGTATGGAGGAAGGGGGATATCAGTCAGTAGTGTGTGTCCTCCCAGTATGGAGGAAGGGGGATATCATTAAGTAGTGTGTGTCCTCCCAGTATGGAGGAAGGGGGATATCAGTAAGTAGTGTGTGTCCTCCCAGTGTAGAGGAAGGGGGATATCAGTCAGTAGTGTATGTCTTCCCAGTATGGAGGAAGGGGGATATCAGTAAGTAGTGTGTGTCCTCCCAGTGTAGAGGAAGGGGGATATCAGTAAGTAGTGTGTGTCCTCCCAGTATGGAGGAAGGGGGATATCAGTCAGTAGTGTGTGTCCTCCCAGTATGGAGGAAGGGGGATATCAGTAAGTAGTGTGTGTCTTCCCAGTATGGAGGAAGGGGGATATCAGTAAGTAGTGTGTGTCTTCCCAGTATGGAGGAAGGGGGATATCAGTCAGTAGTGTGTGTCCTCCCAGTATGGAGGAAGGGGGATATCAGTAAGTAGTGTGTGTCTTCCCAGTGTAGAGGAAGGGGGATATCAGTAAGTAGTGTGTGTCCTCCCAGTGTAGAGGAAGGGGGATATCAGTCAGTAGTGTGTGTCCTCCCAGTATGGAGGAAGGGGGATATCAGTCAGTAGTGTGTGTCCTCCGAATATGGAGGAAGGGGGATATCAGTCAGTAGTGTGTGTCCTCCAAGTATGGAGGAAGGGGGATATCAGTAAGTAGTGTGTGTCCTCCCAGTATGGAGGAAGGGGGATATCAGTAAGTAGTGTGTGTCTTCTCAGTATGGAGGAAGGGGGATATCAGTAAGTAGTGTGTGTCCTCCCAGTATGGAGGAAGGGGGATATCAGTAAGTAGTGTGTGTTTTCCCAGTGTAGAGGAAGGGGGATATCAGTAAGTAGTGTGTGTCTTCCCAGTATGGAGGAAGGGGGATATCAGTAAGTAGTGTGTGTCTTCCCAGTGTAGAGGAAGGGGGATATCAGTAAGTAGTGTGTGTCCTCCCAGTGTAGAGGAAGGGGGATATCAGTAAGTAGCGTGTGTCTTCCCAGTATGGAGGAAGGGGGATATCAGTAAGTAGTGTGTGTCCTCCCAGTATGGAGGAAGGGGGATATCAGTCAGTAGTGTGTGTCCTCCCAGTGTAGAGGAAGGGGGATATCAGTCAGTAGTGTGTGTCTTCCCAGTATGGAGGAAGGGGGATATCAGTCAGTAGCGTGTGTCTTCCCAGTATGGAGGAAGGGGGATATCAGTAAGTAGTGTGTGTCCTCCCAGTATGGAGGAAGGGGGATATCAGTAAGTAGTGTGTGTCTTCCCAGTGTAGAGGAAGGGGGATATCAGTAAGTAGTGTGTGTCTTCCCAGTATGGAGGAAGGGGGATATCAGTAAGTAGTGTGTGTCTTCCCAGTGTAGAGGAAGGGGGATATCAGTAAGTAGTGTGTGTCCTCCCAGTGTAGAGGAAGGGGGATATCAGTAAGTAGCGTGTGTCTTACCAGTATGGAGGAAGGGGGATATCAGTAAGTAGTGTGTGTCCTCCCAGTATAGAGGAAGGGGGATATCAGTAAGTAGTGTGTGTCTTCCCAGTATGGAGGAAAGGGGGATATCAGTAAGTAGTGTGTGTCTTCCCAGTGTAGAGGAAGGGGGATATCAGTAAGTAGTGTGTGTCTTCCCAGTATGGAGGAAGGGGGATATCAGTAAGTAGTGTGTGTCTTCCCAGTATCGGGTAATGGGTACATCATTGACCAGAGTGTGTTTTCTCCCACTGACACCGGACTGATAGTGATTTTTATGTGCGCATCATAGATTACTCCACTTCCAAATGAATGAGGGCCGAATTCGGATTTATGATCAAGAAAATTTAGCTACTTTCCACGAATGTTTTAAATACTACCAGAGACTACATACCAGTATAGAGACAACATAAGCGAAATGTACATGAACGGGTATTTATGTTTGGAATCGATTATGGGTGTCGATTTAAAGCTGAAAATAGTAGTAAAGAGGAATTGTAGTACTGTGGGATTCCAATGCCGGGGCTGGACTGAATGATGTTTTGTTACAGTCTGTTTATCCATAACTGATCTGTATTTACCGAACATACTAACTCTGACTAACTAACATAGAGGGGGTATAAACCCATGTCACAGGGGGACAATGCACTTGTCTTACCGCACACCTAAATACATTGCAGGTTTGCGTTACGCATGCATTGGTACAAATCGAAAACAATCTAGAATACCCCGAGATCTTGTTCATTTGGAAAATATCGTAAATATCCGTAGAATAACGTCTTATACCAGATACCTTACATGGTAGCATGGCACATTCAGTAACCAATCAGCAACGATTATCTTAATGCTAGGTACGATAAATGTTGATGTCTATGCAACAGTTACTGGAAGATAGTGGCACTTTCTAAACACATGGCGATGCAGTGTAAACGGAAACAGCCAATGTGCTTCAAGTATTGTATTCTCAATATTGTACGAGTGTGGATTTATCAGTTCTGAGCCTTACATAAATTAAATTGCTCCATAGTCAAAGCTTTAGTTGTGGACATTAAATGAAACCATTCATAAATACGTGAATCAATTGAGCACATTGTTTCGCTTTGACAAGTCTCTAAAACAAGCAGGGGTCTGTGACGTTTGAAATGTGGACAAGCTTATGGAAGGTGAAGCTGTAAGTATTTGCTGAAACAAGGGATCGTAGTTTATCTTCCAATCGTGGATTGTAGCAATGACAACAACTGATTGGTGCATTGTCCTGATGTAACACCTTTCCTAAGCTTCCCACATCTCTCGGTCATAATTTCATAATGTCATTGAAGTGAACACACCTTATTCTCCTGATCTGGCTCCATCAGCCTTCTGACCCGTGAAGATCCGGGGTAGAATAGGTCTTCAGCAACCCATGCTTGCCGTAAAAGACGACTATGCTTGTCGTAAAAGGCAATTGCGTGGATCGATGTTCATGATATCAATCACTGGATTGTCTGGTCCAGGCTCGATTATTTACGGACCGCCGTCATATAGCTGGAATATTGCTGAGTGCGGCGTAAAACAACCAACCAACCAACCAACCGTCAGCCTTCCATCTGCTCCCAAGCATTAAGAAAGCTCTAACCTGAACCCATTTCGACGTCATAGCAGCTTGTAGAACTTCTTGAACAGTCAGGAGAAATACTTCTTCAATTTCCTCCAACATCGTTGGCAAAATTGTATCAATGTGGAAGGGGTTATGTTGAAAAATAAATCGTTTTGATGCTTCAAGGCCAAGTCTTTCCAGTTTAGACTCAGGACTAATGAAACAACCTTTGTAGCTTTCATGATTTATTTACTTGTGCTCGCAATATATATAGATAAAAAAATTAACCTTTCATAAAATAAATCAGCATTGCAGAGGGCCACACTCTCCAAAAGTTGTTTTTTTCTCCGCGATCTTCTGTATTTGCAGTCCAGGCCTAAATTATGTTATGTGCGATATTGTTACTTGCGAAAGGATAACAAGTGATCAGCTGAGATAATTACATTTCATGCATTTATTTTCGACATGTTTTTGACAAATATAGGCAATACCTATGGAAGGAATGGTGGTTATTTTGGCTTTTATACAACATAGACCTTGATCATATGGTCTCATAAGCTACTCTTAAACTCACCTTAAGAAATGTACCTTAGCATTCTATAGTTCATTGTTAAAAGCGCTTCAGAGCACTATCTCCATGTTCCTCGTACGCAGCTTTAGAGAGGAACTCATTTTTAACAAATACGTCATGAGCAGCTAGCATAGACCCGCCTTTCCATGCTGCGTATTTCCATTCAGGGGCGGTCACTTTGATTTCTTGGCTTGGACTTGACGTCTTCAGTTCTTGCTCCAGCCTTGCCTTCATGCCTGGCAACTCTGCTGTGCCTCCTGCCAGGATTATGTTCGAGTAGAGAAGTGGTCGCAAATCTTCATCACACTTGTCTACGGCATTATGAACCAGCTTCTGGAGTGCATGACCATTTGAGCCAAACATGGAGGGAACAAACATTGCTTCTGGGCAGAAGAATCTTTCCTTCTGGAGAACAATCTCAGTGCCGTCTGTCATTCTGAAAGTCTTCTTGATGGCGTTTGGTTCAATCGATAATTTCTTTAGCTCTTCAATTGCATCAAGACTGACGTAGCATAACCTTTCTTTTATTTGATCTACTTGGTACTTCTGAGCCCAAGAGGGGAAGGAGTAGTACCTCTTCTCCAGAAGGTGCTCCAGATAGCTGGACAGACCTTTACCGGCAAGTTCCAGAACACCAATTGCCTCATGCACCATCGTTCCATTGTTAATTGGTATGACGCTGGTGGAATCATATCCCGAATCCACGACTAAGCCTGTTTTCAGGTCGTATGCATGCAGGGCCAAAAGAGGGTTGAACCCCCAATACAAGGCAGGTACTTCCATAGACTCAAACAATATCTGACTCAGTCGCTGTCGAGTTTTAAAGGGACACCCTAAAGCTTCAGTTAGCAGAAGAGGATGGTCTTCTAGGGTGGCTCCTAATTGACTGTAGGCGTGTCTCCACACCAGCTCAATGTCATGGTCATCCATCACGAGGCCTTCCTTGATAACGCAGCGTACGTCTTCCAGATGATCTCTGTCGGCAGCGACCTCGTTGCCAACTAACACATGACCTGTACCGCTGGACCCCTGTAAAAAAACATAACTCTGTTAGTCCAGACCCCTTCAGTCCAATAAGTCCCGCTTATGGAACACTCGTGTTATAAAAGTCTACATATATACAATTGATATTACCCAATGCCCATTTGGTATTAATCCGTAAAACTGTTAATCCGAGAGATTTCACTGGGAACGATGTATTATTAGTGTTTCAATATGTATATTATTGGCAATGGCAATATATAGCCGATAATGTTTGAAAAGGTTCAATGCAACCACCCTATTCCTATTGACATAGAGATAGGAGAAAACTATAATTGCAGTCCCAAGGTCTAAAGACATGACTATGAAGCATTTTATAGCTTAGCAAATTCGATAATGTGAAATATTTGATGAGAAGGAAATGAGGGTTCTCAACCTACGAGAGTCACTTGATAACAATAGTCCAGTTAAGTGCTGCTATAAATAACCCGCCTGCTGTAGGCGAGAATAATGTCCACAGGTGGTTGGTTGTTGACCAGTTGAGAGAATATTTGTTGTGGCAACCCTATTTTTTTGCTTCTGTTTCTCCTCTAAAATATGTGGATGCAATCTTTCAGTTTCAGGGTCAGTCGGTTTTAAGTCTATGGTTTAGTTCCCTTAATGTTTGTAGACAGAATATTCATAGACAAATATAAAACGATCAACGTTGCTCGGATAAATCCTGAATTGGGCAAACACATTGACTGAAAGTGGATCCACGTGTGAGCTAAATAATGGCAAACAGGTTTTGTGACAAATTTGTGGTGAGAAGTAAGGAAACACAGCTCTGATATCCCTGATATCCGTGATAGCCTCAGCCATATGATACAAAATAAACACAAGAAACACAATCCAACTATTACATATTTTTAAATAACCCAACCCATTTGAGTATGAATCATCCTCTCAACACAGGACACTTAGATTTGAATCTGGTCCACATACTATGCGATGGTATTATTTTCATATCCTTTAACTTGTGTGTGGTTGTGGCAAGGGAGTAGCTGTACATAATTTTTAGTCTGGAGTCTTGTTTCTCATGGGTTCCACCATCTGTAAATGGTGGCTTTGGGGACGAATCTTCGTTTCAACACGGGACACTTTGGTTTGATTCTGGGCTACATACTATGCGATGGTATTATTTTCATATCCTTTAACTTGTATGTTGTTGATTTATGGCCTTTGTCTTGATATGGCAAGGGAGTAGCTGTATATAATTTCTAGTCTGGAGTCTTGTTTCTCATGGGTTCCACCATCTGTAAATGGTTGTTTTGAGTACGAATCTTCTCTTCAACACGGGACGCTTTGGTTTGATTCTGGGCCACATACTATGCGCTGGTATTATTTTCATATCCTTGTGTTTTGTTGATTTTGTGGCCTTAAACATATTTGCTAGTCTGGACAGATATCTTGAAAACTCATTGATAGCAATAAAAGGTACTTATCACAATCATTGTCCGAAGCTGTTGTTTGTTTGTTTTGGGGGTTTTTTTTGTCGTTTAACGCCGCACTCAGGAATATTCCAGCTATATGATCGTAGTCTGTAAATAACCGAGTCTGGACTATACAATCCAGTGGTTGACATCATGAGCATCGTTCCACGCAATTGGGATATGATGACATGCATCAACCAAGTCAGCAAGCCTGACCACCGGATCCCGTTTGTCGCCTCTTACGAGAAACATAGTGGCCTTTTATGGCAAGCATGAGTTGCTGAAGACCTATTCTACCTCGGAACTTCACGGGTCCCAAAGTAATATTGGCTAAATATGCTTTGTCCATATTCACAACAAAGGAAAATGCCTCCAAAAGGGGACATGACAGAAAATGAAAATGTGTGGGCTATAGACAAAATTTGAAGTTGGCCAGTCAGATTGCAGTTGCCAGACACTTTGATAAATCTAAGATTGTGATATCTCGACTGATGGAAGGGTATCGGCACACGGCCGTATTAGGATTAGAGTGGACAGAGGAAGGTCCAAAAGGCTTCTCCCAGGCAGGATCGATATATCCGCAACATTGTGTTGAGGAGCAGATTAATGTCTGCATCAGAACAGAGGGAAAACTTCACGGCTGCCACAGGAATCCGACTTCCGACGTCAACTATACAGGTTGAAAAGTTTGGATCTGAAATGAAGACGTCCTTTCAGAGAAATGTGTGGCACTACACAGAGGCCTCAGACAACTGTGGGCACAGCAGTTTGGAGGTCGTCAATAGCAACATTGATGATCGCCCATTTTATTCTAATGAATCAAGGTTCTGTTTTTACTGAACTATGTTCTGTTTACGCTGAACGTGTTTGGAGAGTGTAGATACTATCCAACAGCATTTCACGAGCATGTTAAGAAAGGGCGTGGCAGTACCATGGTCTGGGATGGCTTCACATACGACAACAGGACGAATCTGATCATCGTACAAGGGAACATGACAGGTCAACGTTATGTGGACCAAAGTATGCGTCCAATGATCACCCAAGAGTGTAGGTCAAAACTATCAGTTCCGGTAAGACAACGCACGTCCTGACAGAGCTTGTGTTGACTGTCTGAGGCAGCAAGGTGTCACAATATTGCCCTGGGCAACCATATCTCCAGACATGTCACCGATTAAACACCTTTGGGATCTTCCGACCTCAGTGTTTCCAGAACTTTCAACAGCTTTGGCAGGCCTTACAAGAATGGTGAAGAATAACACGTGGAGACGATCCGGCGTTGATATCCAGCATGCCCAGAAGATGTATCTGCATATCACAGGGCACGGAACAGATATCTGAAGAAATTTGAGTGTTCCCTTAAATATTGTTCCACGTTACTATTGTTATCACGTGACTCGTAGGTTGGGGTGATGCCGAACCTCTATGTCCCCATCACCAATTGTTCTGATACATACGTTGCAAAAACACACATTCTATTATTGGGGAAATAGTGGGTCTCTGGCATAAGTGATTGCGGTAGTATTGTTGTCTTTTATTTCTAAGAATCTGAATATCATTGGTTCAAACCCTAGTTTCGAATAAACGACATTAAGGTGAGGTGAGGTGAAATGGGGTTTAACGTCGCGTCCGATTATTGCACTTATATAGCGACGTGCATGTACATGTGTGTGTTTGTGTGGCTGCTTGTACTTGTCCGGACTGATGCCGATTTATAGTGCTAGCTCACTGAGATACCATGCTGCAGTTTAACATGAATACCCCACTCAGACACAGTATACTGACTCCGAGCCGACCAGGCCTTGTTTTAGCCCCTTAATGCCGAGCGCCAGACAGGGTAACAACAAGTACCATCTTTTAACGTCTTTTTGGTATGACGCGGTCAGGGATCGAACACCGGACCTTCCGCTCTCCGGGCGGACGCTCTACCACTAGACCACGGAGGCGGTCAAAGGACATTAAGAGTGTGAAAGAGCGTGTTTGGTGGGGGTAAACCGTGGATTTCAGTAATTAATGTAAGAAAGACACACGGCGTTGATGTATCAGCGGATCCTAGCAGGTATAAGGGACACAACTAAAACATTATATCAGTAGGTATCGGGAATATATGACTACTGCGTCACAGTGCCTTTTAAGGATATTAAAGTGAGTGAGTATGGTTTTACGCCGCTTTTAGCAATATTCCAGCAATATCACGGCGGGGGACACCAGAAATGGGCTTCACACATTGTACCCATGTCGGGAATCGAACCCGGATCTTCGGCGTGACGAGCGAACGCTTTAACCACTAGGCTACCTGACCGCCCCTAAGGATATTAAAGGACGAAGGAGAATGCATAATGTTATTTAAACTCACCAGGGAACCGGCTATGAGTGTCTTGAAGACGACTGATGGATTGTCATTTCCCGCAAATCCTCCCTTTATTTCGTACGATCCGTTATACAAAACCACAGGAGAGGCAGCCATTGTCCAAACATCAACGTCCGAGGTGGCCCAGGTAGATTGTGCCTAACAGGCAGACAGGGTTTATAATCTTCATTGTATATTCAGGACGCCTGTGTGGCAGATGACATCCATGCGGATAAACCACCAACTGTGAATTCACAATTAATGCCATAGTTGTGTTTTGAATATACAATAAACCTGACTGGAATAAGGTTTAATTAAATTCAAATATAACCATCCCCTGTGTGCATGGATGAGGCATTTGGTTCTCAATCTGTATTTCGTGTATAATCACAAAACTGTTTAAGACCAGTCCAAAAGACTTCACGACATTCTGTTGGAGCATCAGTACTTGTTGCAGCGGCCTTTGGTTAAAGCTTGTCCCTTGTCACGGCGAAGGCCCGCGTCCTTTACTTTCGTTCGATCCGTGATAGTGAGTGAGTATGGTTTTGCGCCGTTTTTAGCAATATTCCAGCAATATCACGACGGAGGATACCAGAAATGGGCTTCATACGTTGTTCCCATGTCGGGAATCGAACCCGGGTCTTCGGCGAGACATGCGAACGCTTTAACCACCAGGCTACCCGACCGCCCCCAGCAAGCATGGGTTTGAGCCAATGGGAGTAGTTGACTCAAAGTGTTAACCTAGTGACATGTGATGTGGCACACTTACGGCGGACGCTTTAACCACCAGGCTTCCCGACCGCCCCCAGCAAGCATGGGTTTGAGCCAATCGGAGTAGTTGACTCAAAGTGTTAACCTAGTGACATGTGATGTGGCACACTTACGGCGGACGCTTTAACCACTAGGCTACCCGACCGCCCCCGGCAAGCATGGGTTTGAGCCAATGGGAGTAGTTGACTCCATGTATGGTACTCAAAGTGTTAACCGAGTGATGTGGCAAACTTACGCGAACGCTTTAAACACGAGGCTACCCGACCACCCCTATCCGCGATAGAGAACAACAGGCGGGTCGTGCCTACCCTTACAGACAGGACATTGCATATTCATGACATGGTGATGATGTACACGCCAATAAAGCAGTATGACTCCACACTCAATGTCATTGCGGTATTTTGAATATAGATATAAACCTGACTGGAATAAAGTGTAATCAATGCAAATATGTTCGTGGATGCTCCATTTGTATCTGAATCCCTATTTCGTGTATAGACACAAAACATTATTTTAGACCCGTCCGAAAGACCTTAAGGCATTCTTTCGAAACATCAGTTCTTGGTGCAGTAGCCTAGTGGTCAGTGCCTGTCGCTCGCCACGCCGCAGGTCCGGGTTTGATTCCCGACATGGTACTAAATGTGAAACAATTTCTGGTGATGTAGCTCGAATATTCCTAAAAGCGCCGTAGAACCATACTCAGTCACTCACATTCTTTTTGGACACGTTAAGCTCGAGGGTAGAACAGGTCTTCAGCAACCCATGCTTGCTTTAAAAGGCGACTTTGCTTGCCGTCTGAGGCGACTAACGGGATCGGGTGGTCAGGCTCGCTGACTTGGTTGATGCATGTCATCGTATCCCAATTGCGTGGATCGATGTTCATGATGTGAATCACTGGATTGTCGGGTCCAGACACGATTATTTACAGACTGCCGTCATAAAGCTGGGTGCGGCGTTAAATAACAAACCAACCAACCAACCAACATCCCTTGGGTTATATTATATTTGTTTGTTTGTTCGTGTTTACAAATGAACAATATTCAAGTGATACGGCGGCCTGTAAATAATGAAATCCGAACCGGAGAAATTGATATGTGCGATATCCCACGCCGTCCTCAAGCCGTCAACTAATGGACATCCGATCCATTTGGTCGCCTAACTTTTTACATTTTAACCAGATATACATACACACGAGGGAATGGTAAAGGTACTTATTGACATTGAATGCCTCCGTGGTCTTGTGGTAGAGCGTCCGCCCGGATAGCGGAAAGTCAGGGGTTCGATCCCCGGCCGCGTCATACCAAAATACGTTAAAAGATGGTACTTGTTGTTACTCTTGGTAACACGCGATTTAACAGGCCTGGGTAATACGGGATTCAACAGGTCTGGGTAATACGGGATTCAACAGGCCTGGGTAACACGGGATTCAACATGTCTTGGTAACCCGAGATTCAACAGGTCTAGGTAACACGGGATTCAACAGGCCTGGGTAACACGGGATTCAACATGTCTGGGTAACCCGAGATTCAACAGGTCTAGGTAACACGGGATTCAAGATGCCTGGGTAACACGGGATTCAACGGGTCTCGGTAACACGGGATTCAACGGGTCTGGGTAACACGGGATTCAACAGGTCTGGGTAACACGGGATTCAACAGGTCTTGGTAACACGGGATTCAACAGGCGTGGGTAACAAGGAATTCAACAGGCCTGGGTAACACGGGATTCAACGGGTCTTGGTAACACGTCATTCAACAGGTCTTAGTAACACGTCATACAACAGATATGGTTAAAACATGAATAAAAAGAGATTGTTACAAAAATGTGTTGTTTTGTTTGTGGTTTAACATTATTCCCTCTGTATGACGGCGACCTGTAAATAATCGAGTCTGGATCAAGACAATCCAGTGATTGATATTGCGCAACGATGTACGCGATGAACCAGCCTGACCACCCGATCCCGTTAGTCGCCTCTTACGACAAGCACAGTCGCCTTTTTCGGCAAAAATTGGTTGCTGAAGACCTATTCTACCCCGGATCTCCACGGGTCGCGAGGCTTTTTATCTATAGCGTTAATTAATTTTCCACTGGGCCGTGTCTGTCATCACATCCATAAGTCCCATGTCCAGGGTGACGCCATTGTCTCTTTGTTTGTCCAATAGTGTATATATATGTTTACATCTTTACTGTTCGTTAGTCTGGCATTCCGACAGCACCTGTATGTACAGCCGCGAGTAGGATACGCCTGCTTGCTGGACTTCACTTGTGGGAGTTGAGTTGGAATCTCCGCTCGACATATAAGAAGTTTGGACTCAACGTATTCTTCGTCTTCAATCTGAGCTAATTTCCCCGTCAACATACGCGTTGACAATACTGTGAAATTCTGGCATTCTCCGTGAGCATCTATGCGGAAATATCTTCTGGGCATACGGAAGTCACACGGGAAATATACTTATAAACCTATTCATTGGGATCTCTATTAAGTAAGAGAGTTCTTTCTATAGGCATTACAACCTATTGTGAGGTTTTACTTTCAAAGTAAAACCTATTAAGAGGTTTTACTTTCAAAGTAAAACCTATTGTGAGGTTTTACTTTCAAAGTAAAACCTATTATGAGGTTTTATTTTCGTTCTGGAGGTTTTACTTTGAATGTAAAACCTCTAATCCCAGGTTTAACCAAGTAACTGAAAAAATGACTACAAGTAGCAATTTAAAATTGAATGTCATGTGTACAGTGAATGAAGACTGGGTAGCAAAATGAAAGTCGTCGTCGCCGCTCATCTTTCCACTTCAGAGTCTCTGGTGAAAGGACAGCGAGGTTTCAAAACACGTGCTTTTAAACAAGTGCTTATCAATGATGCAAAATTTGCACGTGAAGTAACTGCTAGCCGTTACGTTACAACTACCTCTAGGTAACAGTTGGATTGTTTAAAGTCGTAAATCTTGTAAAGCAAAATACACCTTTTAAATTTGCGAATTTTCGTTTTGAAACGTTTAAAAGAAGTGAAATATTGCAACACAAACACTCACAGACCGAATATTTCACTTTCATTTAAAAGTAAGTATTTTAGTTGGGTTTTGTTGTTGACACATCCAAGTGCTCTTGACCGCCTGGCAAGTCAGCGAATTTCACGTGCAAGTTATGATATCACGTCTTCAAGGAAGCGCTATAATGAAGCGCCTCATTTATAGATGCTCGTTATAACATTTAATCAATTTAGACGGTTTATAAGTATGGAAAAACACTTTCCCTCGGTTTACGTAGACAGAGCATGCCCTGGGGGTTGGGAAAAACCGCGGGGGCTTCGCCCCCTTGGTTTTTCCGTCTCCCCAGGGCATGCTCTGTCTACCAAAACCTCGTGAGCGTGTTTTCTCCAATCCATAATTATCACCTGAGTGATACCTTATTCACTGGGGGAATATACATCATGCATTTTGCTTGTATTTCTCTTTTACTATTTATATACAGAAAACAACGAATTTATAATATGCCCTTACAAACCCCCGTGACTAATGTTGAGTGATGGGCATGAAAAAAGATTGAGTGAGTGAGTGAGTGTTCTTATTTAGCTACCATTAATGGTCTACGCATGAATGTAGAAACAGATATCTGCTAAATAAGTTTAATAAGAATAAATTATATTGCTGACAGATATCCTTCTATATGAATTGTCCGTGTCAGTGTCGTATTTGAAACGTATCATATCTAATATAATATGCCAACACGCAGGAGATAGTGGGAAATATCAAGACATATCGTCTGATCTATATGGTATTGGCGAATGGAAATAACATGATCATATCTGCTGGGGAGTAGGCGATCAGATCTGATTGGTTGGCGTGATGAGGGCGCACTAGGTCGTTAACGAGGTCGGGGTCAAATTCGAAATTTGCATGTCACTAATATCGGGTAAAACAGCCATTGTTGGCTAGTCATGCACGAATTCGTCGAGCCATTCTTCTGATGAGTCGACCACTGTCACCTTAACTCATGTTGTTTTAACACCGAATTCACGGAGCGTGGATCTCGCGCTGTTACCGTAGTAACGACTCGTCGGAAAATAAAACGATAATAACCCTGGACGCACGTGTTTTAAATATATATAGTTGAATAAAGGTAGGCTGTTCAGCAGAAGTTGTCAAACAAGGTTAGTAATTCAATGAGGTCCTCGATGATTGTGTGCCACGTACCCCATGGATCGTATAAATGTCATCAACCCATGTATTGTTTTGGTCAGGTTATATGCAAGCCGGGCATGTACCGGACACTCATTAGTCCGGATCTCTCTCAATAGCATACGACCCCTGAAGATCCGGGGTAGAATAGGTCTTCAGCAACCCATGCTTGTCGTAAAAGGTGACTATGCTTGTCGTAAAAGGCGACTAACGGGATCGGTGGTCAGGCTCGCTGACTTGGTTGATGCATGTCATCGTATCCCAATTGCGTGGACCGATGCTCATGATATGAATCACTGGATTG